AGGGGCTGCCGGGCGCGCGGGCGCGCGCAGCAGCAGCAGCAGCGGGCACGCGCCGGGGCGGGGGCGCGCCGGGGCGGGGAGGGGGCAGCCCTTTCCCAGGCGGCGGGAGCGGGGGCGGCGTCGCTGTTGCCCTTTTAAGCCGCGGGGCCGCCGCCTCCTGCCGGCAGAGTCGGTTACAAAAGGCAGCAGCCGCTCGGTGTTCCCCACCCAGTTGCTCGCCGAGGCCTCGCGCCCCTCGCCATTTTCCAGTCGCGCTCGGACGCGGGTTCGCAGCAGCGGGAAGAGAAGGAGGAGGAGGAGCCGCGGGAGCGCGGCCCCGGCCAGCCCCGCGGGGCGGTGGCGGCCGTGACGGCGGCGGCTCCGGGCCGGGCTCCCTTTCCACATTCCTCCCACCGGAGATGAAGGGAAGATGTCCGTGTCAGGGCTCAAGGCCGAGCTGAAGTTCTTGGCGTCCATTTTCGACAAGAATCACGAGCGATTCCGGATCGTCAACTGGAAGCTGGACGAGCTGCACTGCCAGTTCCTGGTGCCACCGGCGCCGCCGCTCACGCTGCACTGCAACATCACGGTGAGGCGCGGCGGGGACAAAGGGGGGCGCTGAGCCGAGCCGAGCCCAGGCGACCCGAACCGAGCCGAGCCGAGCCGAGCGGCCGGCGCCCCGGAGCCCCGCCCCGGGACGGCGCGGCTGGGCGCGGGGCGGGGGGGGGGGCGGGGCAGGGAAGGTGACGGGGCGGAGCGCGCGTTCCCGGCGTTTGGCCCCTCGCGGCCCCCGTCGCCGCGGCCGCCCGAGCGCTCGCGGGGTCGCCATGGCCGCCCATCGCCGGGGACGCGGCGAGGCTGTGTGGGGTTCGCGCCCGTTGAGTTTGAGCAACTCGTCTTTTTTAAAAGTTGACACCGGCACGGACACCGTTCAAGAACAAAGTTTAGGGCGCGTCGGGTCCCGGAAGGCGCAGCGGACCTAGATGTGTCGCGTGCAGGTGGGATGGCCGCCGCCAAGCCCGCAGAGGTCCATAAGGGGACATGACCCTGTTCCGGGTCTGCACCCAGAAAGGCCATTAGATGACAAAGCCCAAGACCCCTCTGTGACAACCCCTCCCCCCCAGCCTGCTGAGATGATCGTGCCGGGTACCGAACAACTTTGTGCACGGCAAGTGCATCGCCCGGCCATGTGCAGCGGGAGGCCGATTTTTAAGGGCTTGGAATAGGAGTCAAGGTGGAAGTTTAAGTTTGTGGGTTTTAACTTCCCCTTGGCTAACGTCACTTGGTGCCCAAGTGCGCACAGTGTGGAAGGAGTTTGCAGAGGCCTTCAAGTAGTGATGACCTTAAAATGGAGTGTGCGGAGTGTGTCTCCAACAAGACAGTACAACCCGATGCGGTAGTGCGGAGAGAACTGACTTACTGAACACCTGAGCCTTCTGTTGTGGGCACTGCTGCTGCAAAGCCGAGAACTCAGACTTGTTGGGACACTTAACACAGTGGGACAGCTGCCACGATGTTTTTAGGAAAACCAAAGGGACCAACTAATTGGTGCACCTCGGAAAGCTTTGAGGAGAGGGGCTGAGCCAATACAGGTGAAGACAGCACGAGGGACAATTCAGGCAGAGGAAACTCCACCCAAACAGGGCCGCAAAGCTTGAGAAAGGATGGCTTCTCGGAGTGGACAAGTATAGTGCTCAGACTTGAAGCCCAGGATTTAGGCTGGGGAGGGAAACCGGAAGTAGTGAGCATGAGGTAGGTGATAGTTGTAGGCTCTCTGGGGCCACGCAGCTACTCAGTAAATTGGGGAAAATGTGTCTGCCGTCCAGAACTAGAATTGTTTCTTTAGAGATGTGAGTTTGGGTTATTTTAGTGGGGGTGGGGTGGCATTGTTGCTGTGCTGGCATTTACTACTGGGGGACAGGGATGCCAAATGTTCTGTAATGTTTATGTAGTCTGTCACACCCAAGAATTATCCTATCTAAAATGCCGGCAGTGCCCCATTGAGAACCATGGTGGAGCAGATAGGAGTCTGCCGCAAAGATTGTGAAGAGTGAATTACACAGTGGCAGTGGAAATGAAGCAAGAAGTGAAATAGAACACTTCACAAAAGGACGATCTGATGTGGGTAGTGTAAAGGGACTACTGGAAGCTGTTAAGCTGCTGGAGAATTCTGACAGACATTATCAGAAGATAGTCTTCATGACATCTGTTCTAAGGAAAAACATCAAACATTCACCAACTGAACCATGTAGAGAAATTCTGTACCCAGCCTCAACGAAGATAAACTTTTGGCCCATCTTACTTTGTCTATGCCCCATCTTTGGATTATTTGAAACTGGGCTCCACGCATGTCAGTATTTCAGTATATGTCTCTAAACGGTAAACATGGGCGTGTTCTGTTGACACCCTGCACGAAGGACAGAGCAAGGAAGAAAGGGGCTGTATTTCAGATGTTAGGATCTCTCCACTGGGTTTGTGATTTGTTCTGTGAAAAGCTGTAGCTTATTAAAAAACAACAACAAAAAAAACTACTGAGCTTGATCTCTTCTTTAACTTCTCCTGTTTAGACAGCTTCAATAATTTTTGCTCTTCTCCTTGCCAGGTGCTCTTCTCCATGCTTACCAGGAAGCATCTTGGTGCCTTCCATCATGATTGAGCTGTGGTCTCACTGTTGTGGGAGGTTGTTCTGCACACGTGCATACTGTTTGAGTAGTCCTCTAAATAAAGAATAAGTAATCCTCTAAAGACACTGCCCATTTTTTCTCTCAGCTTTCTATTTCAGCTGTTTTCCTTATGTGGAAGGTGCCCCTGACCCCTACCTCTGTCCATATGCTGTTGACTGCCCCTCCAGGCTTTTCTGAGTCATGATTAGTTCATGACAATATTTCCGTTTCCTCCTTTCTTTAGTTCTTACTATTTCTGCTTTAGTTATGCTTTCTTACATCCTGTTACTTTTAAAAAAATTTTTAAAGGTGTCTAAGGACACTCTATGCTTTTTATCTTCCATTCAGTAAATGTTTTATTGACTGGCCACCATTTTAGCACTCTTCTTTAACAAAAGTCTTTAACTACCTTGAAAGTTGGCTGCCAAAAATTCAAGAATGACTTTAAAGGTCACAGAGGGTTTGATAGGAAACCTGTAATTTACTACATATAAAGCATCACAGGTCAAAAACGAAACACAAGATGTTTTATTTTCCAGGCCAAGGGAATTGAGCTATTTTTTCTCCGTTTTATAAATTTGTCCTGATTTTGAATATGAAGGGCTCTTTTTCAACCTCAAGGAGTCTTTTGTATTACTTGTTTCCTGTAAACTCGTGATATGAAAGATTATCTGTTATATAAACTTAAGTATCTTTCCATTTTCAGTAAACAGACCTAATTGCCAGCCAGTGCTAACAGTGGTTATGGTCACACCTAAAGGTAAAGCAGCTTGCTTTAACAACCTGTACAGCCTCACAGGAGCTAGCATATGGCTTTTTTCAGTCATTTTGAAGTACTTAACATAACCTGGCAACTCCATTACTACATTTATGGAGTTGTTGGCATCTGGGAACTCCTAGTAGAGAATTGCTGTTTTGGAGTAAAAAATCTCTCCCCGCAAGTAGATTAGCTGGTAAACCACCAAAATTTTTCTATTTGTGTAGCATAAATCGTTATTTTATTTCTACATAAGTGGCTATTTGCCACGCTGCTTTTGGTGAAACACTCTGATTAGCTTTTTTCTATTAATTATTGTCAAAAAGCTTCTCCCCCAACAGCAAGGTACTAAATTAGAAATATTAGCCTGGAATCTAAGAGGGAGAGAGAGGTTTAGTCTCTTCTTAGTAGTTAGGACGTTAAGCAAATCACTTTTTTTAAATTGTGTTTCATCATAACATAGATAATATTTCTTGTCCTGGAAGAGGGTAGGTGTCGGAAAGCTCTTCAACAAAAATACTTAACTCTACAAATAAAATACCAAATATGTGTGTGTGTATGACACCACAAATGGTGTCATTTGTGGCTGGATAACACTTTACTTTGAAAATGCTGTGTAACATCTTTTTATGAGAAATAAGGCGCAACCTGTTAACTTCATTTTTTGTTTTCCTGGTCTTTACACTGATAAAAAGTAGTCCAGCCAGAGTTGTACAGAGGAAATCATGGGCAAATCTAGACTGAGTTGCCTGAGACCTGTTTTTTAGTTTATCCTCCTGGGATAGATTGATTGCCTTTCCAAATTGGACTTGTAGAGAAGCTGTTGGAAATACCAGAACTGTCATGTTATACTCCAGAGTGATGCTTTGAGGCCAGAGGAATCACTTTCACTTACCTGGCCAGTTAATGAAATAGGGTCAAAGTCCAGTTTATAATATGGCTAGCTCTCCCCTCATCATTTTTATGCCCTTTGATGAGAAAAAAGAGACTTAGGTTTCCCTTTTAAGTTTTTTTTTGTTGTTGTTTTTGTTGTTGTTAAACTCTGATCTAGAAAAGGGTAGTGTTAGAGAAATACCAGTGAGTTGAACAGTGGGGAAATTGAATTGAAATAGTCACTACTAAGTGTAGAGTGTACTGGAGAGCAATGAAACAGAGCTTCCCTCCCCAAGGCCTTTAACAGTGTTCTGTGATGTTGTCTAAAGATTATCCTTGAAAGAATGCCCACCAGACACCAAACCATCCAGTGGTTTCTGCAGCTTGGTGGTTCACTTCCTCTTCAGCACCATTGTTCTGTGCCTTATTTCACTTAGTGATGCTCTGAGTAGCTGTAATTTGCTGCCTGTCTTTGAATATTTAAGCATTTAAAATTTTCTGATTTTTGACTGCACCAGATTTTGAACTCAGGGCCTTGTGCTTGCTAGGCAGGCGCTCTACCACTTAGCCATCCCCCCCCCCACCAGCCCTATATTTAACATTTTTTAAATCACAGAGGCATGTATACATTTTCCTTTTACCAAGTGTTAGTAATTTCACTCTGCTTTAGGGGACTCTGGGTTAACAATTTAGTAGTTTACTTGTGAAATGATTAATAGGGAGCTATATATGCATGCATAATTTGATGTCTTTTGTTGTCAGAGCACTTACAGCACGTTCATTGAACAGCAAAGTGTGAAAGTGATGTGGTCTGTCCCTGGTCTCCAGAAGACTTACAACTGTTTAGGCTTTCAACAAGAAGTATGTGTGTCAAGTTTTTTAAAATTTTGTGAAATCCCTGGATGTGGCTGTGCCTAGCATTTGGGAAGACCCTAAAACCTGAGTGTTCCATTGGCCAGTTTTGCTGGCTCATCTTGGGATTGAGCTGCATGTTGGTCTTTTAGTGGATTTGTGTAAAAAATGTTATTTATGAACATGACAAAAAAACTCCTTAAGCAATGACAGGTAAAGAGGTTGGCTTGATTAATCTTGAGTATGTTGTCCCAGATAAAGACAAGTAGTGAAGAGCTTGTTTGAGATTTGTAGTCATGGTAGCTTTATGGTAACAGTTACAATTTCATTCTACAAGTCACTGTAAAAGGAATAGTAGAATGGAGGAGAGACAATTAGGTGGACGTAGGTAATTGTCATATCTGTTTGCCTTTATTTTTTCTTTTTTGTGGAAAAGCTGTTAGA